AGCCATGGAGACAGCAGCTTTAACCCTGTATTATGAGACTGCAAGTGGCCAAAGATATACAATTAAGCAACATGTATTAGTGCTCATCTCCCAATTGGCTAAATATTTGTATGTAGGATTAGAAGGATGCATATACATTCATCATTTGAAAAAACAACAACATTCTGTATTCATGAAAGGCAATCAGAGCTAAGCAATAGGGGGAAAACACTGCAGGGAAAGAAAAGAAGAGTGAAGAAGAAGAAGAAGAAGAAGAAGAATGAAATGCAGTGAGGGAAGCAGAGCAACATTTGCTGAGTGTGTCCAACTGCTAGCCTAGTTTGACTGTGTACGAAGAGAAATGTTTGCAACAGAGGAAGCTCTGCATAGTCCTCAGGTCTGTGGAGATTTGCTTACAGTAAAGTGATGGTAGAGGTAAGATGGCCCAGAGGATTCAGGCTTATGTCTAATAATCAGCAGGGAGGGACTCAGCGTGGTCCCTCAGAAAAAGAGACATGGAGAGTGAGATGGAGGGAGACAGAAATACAGAGCAGACGAAAGATTGAAAGGAAAGGAAGAAGCATGTACAAGATATTGTATGAGGTGTGGGATAAATAAGAGAAAAAGATGAATCCCTGTGACCAAGTGGTTTCTCTCATGTTTCCTTTTATGTTCCTGATTAAAATGTTGTTATGATGTGGCTGCTTTACATATTTGTTTCCCCCTATTAGCTCTTAAAGTCATGTGAAGTGGTGTTAACAAATGAATCTCTGACCTATTAAAGGGAACTTGGCCAATACCAACTTTCAAGGTCATCTGATGAACATCTTTAAGTTTGAGTTTTTTAACATTAACATGACATTGTTGAGGTTGTAGTGGTTTTTGCAGGATGCATTTCACAGTCCCAGAGATACAACTCAGCGCTGATGCTTCAGAGATGTTTGCCAGCTGTTCCAGATTACAAAGTACAGTCATTTATGGCGCTTACTGGCATCAACACCAACAGAACATCCTTGTCCATTAACACAAACTGAACACTCACACATGCCCAAAGTTGACACGTAATACATTAGCAGGGATCCAGAGCACAGCCGAGTCATGTTGCTCTCTCTCCTTGGCATTGGCTTGTTAATATGGCCTAAACTGTGTGTGTGTTTGAGTCCAGTGTCTGTGGTGATCATCATACCCCCAAGGTCAAGATTATTTTGTTGTTTCCTATCAGCGGTGAATTATCCCTGCAAGCATCTTAGCCAATCACGGGCCTGAACCTCTTGCCCATTTAACGGGTGTCTAGTGAGGGGGCAGCGCGGTCGAGGTCGGCAAACCGCAGAGCAGAGGCGTCTGCAGAGCGACCCGACAGCATTTTAGCAGGGACCCGATGAGTGATTACCTCGGAGCTCCAGTCATAATTCAGCGTGACCTCAATCTGCCAGCAGCAGTTTGATGGATCTGCTCACAGTTTGGGTGTCGGGTTCTCACATGTCAAACACAGGCAGATAATGATAGGGCTATCTGTTGCTCTTACAGAATAAAAACATGCATGATATGAATTTGACACTACACAGGTGTTGCGTCATGCCCTTTCTGTTTAATGTTTTCGCTGTGTTGAGCGGGGAATCGCTCCCTATGTAGATGTCAGTTTAGATACTGAAGACAAAACAATGTCACAAATGGTTAACCCCCTTTATGATGATCCCTGGCATCTGTTGACATATTCATCATCTCTGTGTCTTATCAATCAAAGTGAGCATAAATACACGTGCACGCACACACGTACACTCGCAGACACACACGTACACCTCCCAGTGTGGATAATTAGTGGATTCCCACAGTGGGGGATTGAGTGTGTTGTGTGTGTAGTGTGCTCTCCTCTTTCTCTGACCTTCCCCAGTGAGCTTCCTAACACAGTGGGGCTCATAACACACAGCGCTAATGCATATTTATCGGCCTGTTGGCAGCTCATGTGCGCTGGATTTATGCGCTTCTCCACAAACAATAGTAAGGCCTCAGTCACTCTTCCTCCCTTTCATCAACCAAAGCAGGAGATAAATCTGGTCATGTCAACCTGGCAGCATCCTCCTCAGCAGCGGGCCATCTGTGGGTTCAGATGCACACGGGACCCAGGCTAGTTGCTTTCAAGCCGCTCTCCTCAATTACGGCAAACGGATTTGATATACGTATGTCTGTCAAAATCACTTTGGCAATCACAAGAGCTGCCCTGCTGGAAAACGTTTTCCCATGGCAACTTTCTGATCAAAGGCATTTAGAAAGTGTTCGGCAATGCTGTCGGGTTAGGCATTGGGATTCAGGACAGACTCCCTGCACCATGACTGGCTCTGTTTGCACAGCGCAATCTGAGTTGAGATGTGAAGAGAGGCAATACCACTAAAGAGTAAGGGGAGGGGAAGGGAGGGGAGAGGAGGAGGATAGGGGAGGGATGGCAGGATTAAGCCCCAGCCCGCCCTCTTTGCCTCTGAGCGGCCATCTTTCATCCTGCGGCTGCCCCTCTAATGCTTTCAAGTGGGTGAACTCCTCAACATCTGCTCCTGCTCCCTGGGAACCGGCACAGGCCAGCGTCCTGCAGAGGCACACAACCATAGGACAGCGGGGCAGCGTCCTGGCACGACCACATAAAGCTGAGGGGCTCATCCACGCAGAGTTAGGCAGGAACCGAAACAAACAAACATTTAAATCGAAAAACGTATTTTGAGACGTGCGGGGAAATCTCTGCTGCCAACAGCTGCCGCAAGCAGACCCAAACTCATTGATCAAATACACAAACTGTGGCTTGTACTAGTAAACACACTCACCACAGAAACATTTCACAGTTCACTCACCCAGACACATTAATTCTACTTACTACTTGCGAACAAATAAATGTAAATAGCTCTGTAAATAAACGCTTCATCTTCGCCAAGAATAAATAAGCCCCCCGCCGCCTCTGATTAAGACTACCAAAGTGATATATCTGGCACTTAAGTCTGCTGTTTACCTCATAAACACAAAGACTTCAACGCAGCCACCCACACTGACGCTGAAATAGCTCAAACTGCGTCTGCGTGCCTGTATATTTCTCTGCTAGTCTTTGTGGCCTCAACATGGAGTGTTCTAATGATCCTTTTTTTTAATACATGATATTTCTAGATCATTTCATATGCTGTGGCTTTTAATATCACGAGTGCAGCGGTGTTCCATGACTCTGGCAGTAAAATGACCATGAGCAATAAGGAGTGGGGCTGTCAAGACTATAAGGACTCCTTTTGAAAGAGAGGATATCATTCCACCTTTACTCCACTGTCTGTGAGAAGACATTTTGCAAAAAGGAAACGCAGTTCAATTATTGTTGGGCTAAATCCGTTTGTTATTTGGGATCTGTTCCTTGTGGTGAAAAGTCATTGTACATTTCCTTCACATTACACTGGGACTCAAATGTAGTTACTGTCACGATCTGTCTGTGTTGTGTTGTGTCTTGTTTAGATCTGTCTTTGGTTTTCTGTCTGCGTTGTGTTTTGTCTTGTTTAGATCTGTCTGTGGTTCCCTGTCGTTAGTTTCCCTGGTGTGTCTAATTTACCCGATTGTGTTCACCTGGTGTCCCTGTGTTTTCTCCTCCCTCCTCACCTGTGTCTTGTTTGTATGATTAGTCTTGTGTGTATTTAAGTTCTGGTTTTTCTGTCTGTCTTTGTCGGTTCGTCTTATGTAATGACTTGGTCTGCGGTGAGTGTTCTGTTCAGTCTGTGTTAATGGTTTAGCCTTGAAATAAAGGAGTTATATTTGTCACTTTAATCTGCATTTGGGTCCTGCTTCCTACACACACCGTAACAGTTACATTTGTCAGAGAACCGCATGAGACTGAAGATTTGTTCATCTTCATCTCCGAACCCCCTCCACCCCTTTTAAAGCCCACCCACGCACAAACAAGAAACTTCACATAATAGATGGTGTGTTGACTTTTTTCATTTTTGGTACATTGTAGGCAGGAAACAGTTCTGTTCAGCTTCTTTCATTGTGTGCCACCATGTTGCATTGCATTGCCAGTTGAATGTAGGGAGTAGGAGTCTAGTTGTATTTATAGCAACCCGCCCACTAACTAGAATTTAGAGACCTTTCAGGTACAAACTGACTTTTAACATGCACACGGCATAACTAATGGTGTGTGTGTGAACTGCTAAACACCTGGGCTCTGTTAAGTGCCTCGATAAACATTCATCTGTTTGTCATCTTGCAATCTACTTATATATCTAAATAGTTATCACCGCAATAAACCATTTTTTATTCCGTCTTAATGTACAATATTTAATGTCATATTCTGTTCTATATATCATATTCTATTTACATGTATATAGACTTCTTGCACACTTATATTTCTGTATTTTATTATATATTTGTCATGGTTGGAGGAGCTCGGATCAGAATAATTTCATTGCCATTTCTACACTGTAGCTTATGTGCATATGACAATAAAACCTTTGAATCTTTTGAAGTGTGTAAATAAGTGTTTTAGGGTCATCCTATTAAAATCACCTTGAAACGCATTAGCTGTGTGCAGGGTTTATAATACTCAAGAAAGCTACAATCTGGCTCTTACTGCATTTCATACATGTACAACTACTAATGTTTGGTGAAGTCCATCCTCTATTTGCAACAAAACCTATTGAGCCATAGTGGCAGCATCTGCTCCTGACAAACATACAGGGATTAATATCGAGAGTGCATATAGAGATGGAAGAGGAGAAGATGACAGGCAGAGGACTGATTCCCTCCTCTGTCTGCGAGCTGTCTGAGAGACCAGGCCATCTGCACATTCATTATCACACTATCACATTCCATTATTGTTCTGTGTGGCAACAAGGACTTGTTCTGTCTGGCCTTTGTTATTCTTATCAACTGTGACAGCCCCCTTTTGATAATGGCAGCAACAAAATTAACAACTATACATGTCGTATAGCACATAACTGAATTATTGTCGGTGATAGTGACACACTAAACATGAGCCTGTCTCTTCTCTCTGTGTCCTTGTGTAGGTCTGTTCCACCGAGCCATCATTCAGAGCGGCTCAGCCCTCTCCAGCTGGGCAGTGAACTACCAGCCGGTCAAGTACACACGTCTCCTGTCGGAGAAGGTGGGCTGTAATGTCCTGGACACCTTGGACATGGTGGACTGTCTGAGGAAGAAGACCTCCAGGGAGCTGGTGGAGCAGGACATACAACCAGCAAGATACCACGTGGCCTTTGGACCTGTAATCGATGGGGATGTTATTCCAGACGACCCCGAGATCCTGATGGAGCAGGGCGAGTTTCTTAACTACGACATCATGCTGGGGGTCAACCAGGGCGAGGGGCTGCGCTTTGTGGAGAACGTGGTGGATTCAGAAGACGGCGTGTCTGGAAATGACTTTGACTTCTCTGTGTCAGACTTTGTGGATAGTCTGTATGGGTACCCAGAGGGCAAGGACACGTTGAGGGAGACCATTAAGTTCATGTACACGGATTGGGCAGACAGAGACAATCCAGAGACAAGGCGCAAGACGCTGGTGGCTCTGTTTACCGACCACCAATGGGTGGAGCCATCGGTGGTGACGGCAGACCTCCACGCTCGCTACGGGTCTCCCACTTACTTCTACGCCTTTTACCACCACTGCCAGAGCCTGATGAAGCCAGCCTGGTCAGATGCAGCCCATGGGGACGAGGTGCCATATGTTTTTGGAATTCCTATGATTGGTCCCACTGACCTTTTCCCCTGTAACTTCTCAAAGAACGATGTCATGCTCAGTGCTGTGGTCATGACCTACTGGACCAACTTTGCCAAGACTGGGTGAGTAAAGTTTTTGAATAAGTTATCCCAATTGTTAGAGGTTTATCTATACAGATACTGCTTATTGGTATCGATTCCTACTGGTACTATTTTGGATAATCCTTCTTAATTTTAATGGAATGATAATGTTATACTTGGCGCAACGGTTACCTTTATTTATGTTTTATACGATCATGGTATAGAGGGAATTGCCCATTGGGAGAAAGATAAAATGACATTGTTGGCTGCTTGTCTACCGCACAGGTGGTTGGTAGAGGAAAAATGAATTACCATCTACTCCCCAAAAGCATTGATTCAATATCTGCACACAGATTTAAAATAGAAAAACACATTAGGAGCGAGGAGATTTGTTTGATTTTGATCACTCTAGAAGATACTTAGATCATGTTTTGTTTAAAGACTAATAAAGTAATTACTGTGTAGTTGTCTCCTCTGATATTGAGTGTTACCTTGACTTGAGGTCAGCCTGCTGCTAATGAGAGGGTGGTGGACTGGCTGCATTGATCAGAAAGTCAAACACCGTAAAGGTATGGCCTTTAGATACCATTAGGTCGCCAATGTTATGCCTGTTATACACATCACTTTGTATAGGTGGGGTTAGCTGTGTTTACTTTCTCTTTGCCAGATTTAGCCCAATCTTCAGAGCAGGTCAATCTCTCTGCTGTACAGTCCTCAGAATATAAACAACCATGATGTAGTCCAAAAGAACATCATCATAAGCAGATGGCTGTTGGGGAAAAAATAATTAAACGGTAGGCTAATTGAAAAAACATTGCATGATTGAATGCCATTTAAATACTGACAGCAGCACTGAATGCTGCGTGATCATTACATTATAAATCTGAGAAATATGGAGTATCACTACCAATTTAAGACCAGTATCTCTTTTCCCAATTTAGATCAGACTGGTGTTGTTTTAAATCTTGAGTCTAATAATAGTAGAAACTAAAACTATTCACACATATTATAGTAGGTATTTTAAATGAGTTTTAACATCAGTACTTGCAAATTAGAATTAAAACCCAGAGATCCCACGATTAGAAATGTGTTATAAACCGAAGGTCACACAGATCAATCACATCTCAGTCCTATTAAAAGCCCTTCTGTGCTTCAGAAAAGAAGCTGCAGGATAGAAGAAGCTTTACACTGGATTGTATGGGACAGAAAAGGCATTTTTGAACACAGATTTTTTTTTTCAGAGGTGTTATTTGCCTGGACTTCCTGGGTGCTACTCTGAAAACCTGAGACATAGCCTGAGACATATTGAATCTGAGGAAGATTAAATGGTCCTCCAAAATGTGTGCAGTGCTATTTGTGCCTGGCTGCGTTATTGGGTTGAGTTTGTGTGCATGGCTGCCTGCCTTTCTGTGTGTGTGTGGTGTGTGTGTGTGTGTGTGTGTGTGTGTGTGTGTGTGTGTGTGTGGTGTGTGTGTGTGTGTGTGTTGTGTGTGTGTGTGTGTGTGTGTGTGTGTGTGTGTGTGTGTGTGTGTGTGTGTGTGTGTGTGTGTGTGTGTGTGTGTGTGTGTGTGTGTGTGTGTGTGTGTGTGTGTGTGTGTGTGTGTGTGTGTGTGTGTGTGTGTGTGTGTGTGTGTGTGTGTGTGTGTGTGTGTGTGTGTGTGTGTGTGTGTGTGTGTGTGTGTGTGTGTGTGTGTGTGTGTGTTACTATCTATGCTCTATTACACAGAGGCCCCAAAGACACAGAGACTTATCAGGGAGACATATCAAACACTTGCCCTCAGTGGTATTGATTCCCCCCCCACAATGCTCAATTTCCCCCCACCCGTCACAAAACCTGGCTATTTTGTATGACTACTTGTAATCATTTCAAACGACTGAAATGTAATTTGACAATCCTCGTTCCCAGAGAGGTATTGATCCCATCCTGAATGAGACTTGGGTCTGAAATCTTTTTTTATCTCTCCCTACATCATCTGCTGTCCAATCAGGTAGCATTTACATCTAGCTGATAGGCCGTGCCGCCGGCTCTGCTAGATCCTTGAACTCCTAATGGCAGAATAGTGCAGATGGACTGATGTCGGCTCCTCCAGGGAAGCACTGAGGTCCATCAGCGATGTTCGGCCTAAACAGCTGTCTCCTCTGCCTGGCAGCCATCTTGTGTCAACACATACAAAGCTGCAATGTGAAGATACAGATGGAATTTCTCATGCGCCCTTTCAAGAATATTATCTGCAGTTAAAGGACGAGAGCACGTGATTCATTTTAATGAGAAACGTTTGAGGCCGCCATGTTGCAATGCACAGTGCTGAATCACTCTGAGCTTGGATCTTGCTACCTCAGAGAAATTAACTTTAATGGATGATGACAGCCTACCCATCTTACCCAGAACCACTTAACACACCAGCGGGAAGCCTTTCGTAACCCTGATCTGGCCTCAGCAGAAGCCGAAAAACAAATCGCACTTTTACTCCTGACCCCATGTCAGTTTTGTTGATTGCAGTGCCATTGATTTATTGAGTCTATGAGCTAAATAATGGGAAAGTAAACCGACTGTACTGTTTTTCATGTTATGGGTCTATCTGCCCTGTGGTGTGTCGCCTTGGCGTAACTCCAGACTGGGGGATTACATGCAGACCACAATTAGGCACTCAGATGGTCCGGGATTAGATGCCAGGATAATAAAAAACTCAGTGTGCTGCTCCAAAGGGTAATTTTAACCCAGGCCAAGAAAAGGATTCTACCACCAACAAATGGGGGGGGGGGGGGGTGAGGATCTGAGACTTTTCTCAAAGATTCTTAAGATCATCCTCCTCATTTAGACCTCACCAGGGGATATAGATCTCTCTTCCAACACCACCCAACCCAATCTGGCTCCAGAGGACTTCCTTTTAATTAAGGCACAGCTGAATTCCATTTTCCGTCCAACAACCATCTTCCCTATATCTGTAAAGCTTCCCTTCCAGATGTTCGTAATGAACTGACCCAGATTGCATTTCCTGCCCCCTCTCTAAATCAGCTGTAGCAACATGTGTGACACGATGTTGAGACACTTGGGCTGCATGTCAACAGTGTGTATCATAGCAGCATTCGCCTCAAAGCTCTTCCTTTCCCTGGCTCTCATGTGTGTCATCTTTACAGGGCAAATCTCTGCCCATGCGCTTTTTTTGTATTTACCTCCATCAGTGTCAGTGCATGCTGTCAAATATTCTTAGTGTGTGCAGGATTGTGAGAGTGTGTGTTTACACTATGGGCCGTTCTTTCCTGAGAGTTAGGGATGTTTCACAAGCCAGGGATTTACTCAGCTCAGAGTTATTTTTCTGGCTGCAACATTTGTTTTACTATTGACAGGCAAAAATTGCCTGGGCTTTACAGCCACAACAGTTTCTCCAAAACTTTTGAAACAACTCCACATACTTCTCCCTCACAAACACAAATGCAAGCACAGCTGCCCGACTACAGACACAAAAAACTGGCAGAACACTTCAGAAATAGAGAGAATGATGAAAAGACTGATGATCAATCATCACATATCATTAGTGCCATAAATATGTTGGGCCATCTTCCCACAGCTTATTTTGTTCCTATCTGGCTGGTGCTTATTTCCCCTGTTTTGTGTGCCACATGCTGCGCAGGGCCTTACTAGGTAGTTAAAGAGCAGAGCGCTGTCATGTGTTGAAATGTTTTCTTCATTCTCCTCCATACCCCTCTCCCTCATTTAAAGAAAAAAGAAAGTCTACTCGTGTTTTATGTTCACAACATGAGCAAAAAAATGCAGTATTGATTGCTTTGTCTTTAGTGACAACGGCTGTCGACCAAACAAATGTAGATAGCAGTAACTACAGTGTGTTTGTAGTGCCGTTAAGCAGCCAGCTCTTTGATTTACAACCCTGCTAGTTGATTTTTTTCTTTGTTCTTCTCCCACTTGTCAATCGAACAACCCTCCCCGTAGGGTTAACAATGCAAATACATCAACTGTTTTTCCCCGTCTGACCTCATTCACGCACTCCTTCAGCCTTTCTTTTTTTACCCCAGCTGTCTAGTAGTTACATCACTCATCTCTGATCTCCCTCCTCTTGTCCTTCGTCCGGATAATCCCCCGTTCTCTTCAGACTCCTTGGTTAGGACCGACTCAACCTGTACCAGGAAGCGGTGAATGCCAGGCATTGTGAAACCGCACAACCCCGTACAGCCACCTAGCTACTCCATTAAAAAGGCACTCACTTGATAGGAGATTTGTAGCCAATACCCTGATTTGCATTAGAGAAGGTAAGGAAGTGGTGTGGCTTGTTAAGGGGCCTGGATCCCATTGATCGGTGTCCATGCTGTGTGCTGAATGTAATGAGAGGAGGGCAGCGAGGGAGGAGGAGAAAAGGAAAGTAGATCTGCATGTGTATCCGTAAGTAAGTGGGTGTCTGATTAAATAGGGATAAATACTATTTTGTTACTTACTAAATATTCAATAGAAGTGGTCAGACGCTGCTAATTGGTTAAAAGAGGGAGAGAGGTAATGTTAGGCAGGTGATGCAGGAGAGGGAGGTGTTTGGTTTGCTGCCACTCATTTAATCAGACAAATCAATAGCGTCCATATTAAGGAGTGGTGCGAGAGCTGTGTCCTCCAACACTTCTGCACGCCCCAAAGTCAGAGCGCCTCGCCCTGCATCACTTAGCCTGCTGAACTGGAGGCTGCCATAAAATATGAACCGCGCATCACTCAGCCCCCTGCCCCGGCATGTAACCACATGAAGGGTAAAAGAGCACAGCCTGATCATTTGCCCGCTCAGTTCTGAAGCTACCCCCTACCTCGAGCCGAGCCAAATGCTACTAAAGAGCGTTACATGAGTGTTTTTATGATAAATGTATACAGGATGAAGGGAAAGGTGTCAGAACCCTTCTTTTGTAAATTAAAATTAGCTGCTTACTTTGTTACCTGGTAAGTAGATAAACAACTTCAGGGGATGAATTTGATACACAACAATAACTAAATGAAAAAAAAAAAACAGGCTTCAACTTTGCATATTTTAGCAGCTTAGCAAAATGAGCAT